AGAGCCCAGCAGGTCAAGGCTGCGGTGGCTGGGAGCATGCCACTGCACCCCAGCCTAGGCGACCGAGTAAGAGATTCTAACTCAAAAAAAAGAAGGAGATTGTGTCGTGTGTAGCAACATGAGTGGAACTAAAGACCATTATCTTAAGGGAAACAACTCAGAAAGACACAGATGGCATGTCCTCACTTACAAGAGGGAGCTCAAAGAAACAGAGTGTGGGGTGATGGATGGTGGAGACGCAGAGGGGAGGGGTGGGGGTGATGAGGGGAGGTTGCTTGGTGAGCTCCATGTGTGTTGCTCAGTGACAGGTGCACCCAAGGGCCTGTGCGCCACGATGCGATGTGTCACTGCTGCAAAAGTGCATGTGTGCCCCATGAACAGACACAGATTTTAAAAAATGAAATAAAACAAAAAGAGGTCATCGTTGTCATTTTAAAAAAGCTGACAAGGCCAGCACAATAAATTCCTGCTAGAGAACACTGTGTCCAGTTGTTGAGCACAACTTCACCAAGTCTACCACAGAGCCAACTCAGGAACCCATGAGAAACTGTGGATCTGGTCAAAAAGGTGGGGAATCAGGGGTTTCAAAATGTGGGTCTCGGAGAAATTCAAGACCTGGTAGACGGCACACCAGAGGAATTCACGGCAGACGCCCTGATGGAGGGCGAGCTTCCAACCAGGGACAGGCGAGGAGGAAGACGAAACAGTGCCAGGCGCAAGCTGACATTCCACAGTCTGCAGCAGGGCCCCAGTGACTCGCAGCTGCTTCTGACTTATCTTACAACGTGACCCTTATGATACGAGGACTGCGACGGAAGAAGATGGTGGAAGAAAGGCTGGCATGGAATAAAAACATTTTTAGAGAAATGAAAAAGCAGAAAGTCAGAAGTTGCAGTGCATTTTCACAAAGTGACACACAGCGTGCCCACCTCTCCTTCCCCCAACCTGTGCCCCCAAGACTCAAGACCGGTCCCCCTTCTCAGCCTACTCATCATGAAGACCTATATGACGACCCACTTTCCTAAACAAACAGAAGATGCGTTTTCTCTTCCTGATTATTTTTGTAACCCTTTTTTCTACTGTACTGTTAAGAATGCAGCACACAATACACACACACATAATATGTGCTCACCAGCCACTGAGGTCCTCAGCAAGCTTCTGGCCAACAGTAGGTCTGAGCAGTTAGATCTGGAGGGGGCCAAAAGTCACAGGCAGAGGTTTCACGGCACAGGGGCTGGCGTCCCTCACCCCTGCACTGCTCAAGGGCCAACTGTAAATCACCTGTTGATGGATTATCCACACACCTCCTGAATTCTGGGGGCACCTCTCCTTGCTTCTGGCTGTTTCCTTCTCCTGCTGCCAGTCATGCAAGGAACATGACTCTCCTTTTTTTTTTTTTGAGTCGGAGTCTCACTCCGTCACTCAGGCTGGAGTGCAGTGACACCCTCATGGCCACCGCAGCCTTGACCTGCGGGGCTCAGACGATCCTTCCGCCTCAGCCTTCCAAGTAGCTGGGCCACCACTCCCGGCTAATTTTCTGATTTATCGTAGAGACGAGGTCTCACCAAGTTGCCTGCCTCTGGGCTCAGGCAATCCTCTCGCCTCCGCCTCCCAAAGTGCTGGGACGACAGGCATGAGCCACTGTGCCCGGCAGAGCATGACTCTTAAAATTTACATGTTAATCTTCGGGCTTGCTCCAATCACGAATAACAAGAAAAAAGCAAGAAAACACCCCACGATGCACTCCAAAGTGCAACAGAGCTCCTATGCCTGAGACTTTCTTCACTTCCACTTTCTAGAACCTGGCGGCGCTGCCTCCCCTTGGCAGATGCCATACTGTTTCTGTCCTCACTTCTCTCAGGCCTTCCCTGCCCACTCCCACTTGTGACGGCCGGTCCTGTCTACCCGCTTTATCCTGCCTCCTTTATCTTGGCACAACTGGCCACCACCTGACAGAAAACCCATGTAAGCGTATATTTGCTTTTCTCTGTTCTCTGCCCCAGAGAGGGTAGCGTGCTCTGTTCACTCAGTGCCCTTCTCCGTCCCTAGCACAGAGCATGCAATAAAAACACACAGGATTTGTTAAGTGAATCTTCCGACCGTAGGCACAATTCCCTCAGATTATAGATGAGAAAACAGAGGAGACGATGACTTCAGGAGTCTGGAGGAAAAGGGGGGCCCGGCAGAGAACAGGCACTTGAGTTCCTGCAGCTGAGGTCTCTGCTGCATAGGCATGGAGGACGACTCCATGCATGGACAGAGGTGGATTCCAGGCCACTCGGTAATAACACCGCAGGCAAACGCGCCTCTCTGTGCCCTGATTTACCCACCACAAGGCAGGGGTAAAAACAGCACCGACTCAACGTTGTTATTAAGGCGATTAGGCGTGATGATGTGTATAAATAGCACAGTACACAGCAGCCCGTGTCCAACCACAGGGAGCAAAATTGGTATGATTACTACTGTGACCATCATCTCACTTGGGCTCAAGGGTCCATTTTCTAACATTTCCCAAACAATGTACCGTAAGACTGACTGGCTTCTGAGTCCATAACAATGAGAAAGAAGAGGATTTGAGAGATAAAACAGCTGCCAGAGGCAGGAGCAGAGGGAAAAAAGGAGGAAAAAGGGAAAGCTAGATTTCTAGGGTGCTGGATTAGATTTGCTTCACAACGGCTTATACAGAGCTTTGGGAGAAAATACGCACACTGGTGAGGCGTCTACCATAACCCTCATGTGAGTCGCCCCAAGCTCTCTCTGGCACACTCCGTAGCCCTGTGTCTCAGGCGTAGATTTCAGCGAGGCGATAAAAAAGTACCACTTACTGTCTCAGTGACATTGCTACCACCTTGGAACACATCTGCTCTTACTGATCCTATTTTCTTCAGTAACAGAATAACCAAGGCCCTCTGAGATTAGTCAGAAAATCAAATTTTAAAATCAAAGCCACATTCCAAATTTCTTAAAAGATATTTTTTTTGTTCACCTCTGTAAAAACATTGGTCACCGTGTAACATACAGTGGCAGCAAAATGCACCCAATTTACATGCATCAAGTTAATAAACCATAACACTTGAACAACACAAATTTTAAACAAACAGTATTAAAGCAGTTCATGTTGCACTTAGCTCTAGTTCTCGTGTTCCTAATGGAGAAACAGTTATTAGGAGAGTTCCCGTTTTAACCTGCAGTAAAGTTCTTGGTGGCAAGTCACATGAAACAATGATCATATGAAGTTATTACTTTAAATAACCGGTCCTCAGAAATCACTTGGTGCAAAGCACCATACCAGGGTAGATTCCGATCTTTAAAAATGTACACCCTTAGTTATGGAAAAATGTGCTCAATTTTTTGAAAATTAATTACCTAAATGATTCAACTTTTTATTGTGTCCATAAATTAATGTACAGCCCATGTTTTGACACCTAAAATAATTCTGCAGATGTTCAATTAAAGTGACAATTCCCTAAGACTAGGTTATTTTCAAGAGTAAAAGAAGAAAGCCAATAATCAAAAGCCCTTTCAAAAGCCCTTTCTAAACTCACAGGCAAGGTTTCTGATATGGGATTTAATTAGTAAGAAGAAAAGTTAAGCACCACAATAAAATATATTTTCAGAAAACAGAACAGACATCATCAATATACAAGTTAGGGACAGAAGCACTTACACATTTACCCCCCTCAAAAAGAATTAAAACATCACTCTAATCTTAACAATCTGAAATTTTAATAAGGTTTTTCTGGTGTCTGTGTGGTATCATATGGAAGATGCAGACCACAATTTCGTTCAAGTTCTATAATTCCGATTTGACCCAATGAAAATGTCATATTATTTGTGTGTAAGAATGCTCTCTATTTCTTTTTAGATTGTATGATGTCTTTTCTTTTTTCCCTCAAAAATCTATGATAAAAGGATAGCACTTAATCATTCTGAAGTACAGAGGTGAGAATTTATGACAAACTGCCTTAGGGAAAAAAGATCTCTGAAAATAAGAGCTTAAAGTAGTTTTGTACAAATAAAACTTTGAGAGAAGACTATTGTAACACAGCCATCCTGCAGCCTGCATTCCTTCGCATCTATTTAGCAACATAAACAATTTCAGTGGCCAAAATTTTATTGTGACTTTAATTTTGCTTTCTCCCCTCCACACTGTATTTAATTACTCTGTTACAAAGAAGAGTAAGTTTTTAGCATGTATAACAGACCAGTTTTGTTCAGAAAACTAAAAGGTATAACCCATATATGATTTTACTTAAGTCAGATATACAAGACTAGAAATAAGTAACTTCAACCTAGAATATGCTTTCAACACCACAAGAACAGAAAAAAGACCAAAAAAAGGAGAAAGGATTTCTCTTCATACAGCTTTGACTACACTAGCAAAAAAATCAAAATAGTAAACATTTAGTTTTGACGTCAAAAGCAATTCCCCATAAATAAAATTCACTAAGCAAGATATAACGGGATGAGGATAATGAGCATGAAGCATTCAGACTCATTCCGTTCAGGTGACACGGCACGCTGAAGGAAAACATCCTTCCCAAACAACGCGATTCGTATCTCAGTAACCCTTCAAGCTCAGCTGACCTTCGCCGCTTAGACCAGAGACCTTCTCAGAGTTCCCATTTTCTACTTCCTAACAAATAAAAGTTTTAGCCTCTCAGTTTCTGAGTGTCATGTCAAATCCCTCGGTTTATCCTAATTCCACAATCCCCACTTAAAAGACTATAAAATAATAGTTTCTTCCTCAGGTGTTCAGAATTGACCATGTAATTACTCAAAATTAGGAAGTTACAGGTAAAACAATAACTAGAAATAAGTACACTTGTTAGCATACGTGGTTTTACAGAGTAGGGAGACCACAGAATTGCTCTTTCTGATTAACCTCTGGCTCTTAAAACCATAAGATCAGAAAATTAAAATGAGTACCTAAAATACTTCAAATCTTCATCTGTATTCATTTTGAATAGATGTGAGAGTTAAGACAATGACTGAAATTATACGATTGTAAATGTTTACTGTGAAACAGTACAAAATTGATGTTGCCAAAAAGAGATTAAAAATATTAACTGATATTAAACATTAAGCAATTTGGAAAAATCCCAAGGTTGCACTGTAACTATCAGGGAACAACAATAATAACCCCCAAAAAATGCTTTCATGCATGTATACGTGTCGAGTAACAAATAAGCAAACCCCAAGTCAATACAGTACATCAATGACCGGTACTTAAATAATATTTTGATATATAAGGAAAGAAAAAGGAAAGATAAAATGCTGACTGCCATTGATGAAAAAGCATTTCAACAATTTACACAAAATGATACTAAACAGTTTCTTAAAAAAGAAGTCCTAAGAAGGTCAAGCCACAATAAGTTAGTGTTTCCATAATACATGCTGAGTTATTTGATCCCATATCTAGACACTGTTAACTGTCTGAATCCTAAATGTCGGACAGCGTAATAACTGAGGTACATTAGTTTACATCTTCTGATAGGGATTCTAGGAGGATTACTTTTTCGTTTCCAGTTTTTCATCTTCTTCACTTCCGCCAAAGAAAATCAAAGGAAACATTCCTAGAATGCAGCCAATAGTCACCCCAACAGCTTTGCCCTAAGGAAGCAAAAGAGAACATGCTTTAAATGTTGCTTTATCTCTGAAAAAGGCATTCTTGCTTAAGTATCTAGGATAACAGACAATTACAGTATACTATAAAAGTAAACTGTGAATGCATTTATTTTGATCATAGTAACTTAAGGGCAAAAATAAGCTACAAAAAATGTTATTAGAACAAATAATATCTGAGGTTCAAAGAACCAGAAGTTTTTAAAAATTGCCTTTAAAATAACATCAGATAGTCAAATAGAAATACACTTTAAAAAAACTGTACATATATTTTAATGTAAAAAGACAGGAAGGCAGGAAAAACAGTCTCACCAACTTCTCTCAATATATGTGGCTATACTACCTAAGTCTACATTCCCTGTCAGTACCCATCTCTGCGTACTCCTAGTATTTGTATGCACAATCATTATGTAAACAATAGCTTTGCTCTCTTACCCCACCCTCTACAGCCACATATTATAATACACTCTCTTCCAAAGTGCTGTACAAACCTAACATAAAGACTTAGAAAGTCCGCTGAATTGATGGGTGTGTCATCCACCTAAAGCTCTCCTTAGCATTAAAATAAAAACAATCACTGCTCCTTCACCATTAATAAGCAAAATAATAATGCACATTCTGTGTCTAGGTCTTCCCCAGAATTTATTTAAAAATAAAATAATATTTATGCATCTTCATAAGGTGTGGCCATGCTGTGCATCTTTGCCAAAACTGCACACACATATATACCTGTTTCACCTGTATGTGAATATACGTAAATACACACAGTAATCTCTCTACAAGCTCACCTATATCATAAACATGTTTTTATTTTTGTAAATGGTTTTGTAAATTTGCATTCCTACGATACCTATCAAGTTCAAACACTTTTCAATTAAGTTTCATTTCTTCATATAAGCACTTATGGAGAAGCTACTAAGTGTAAAACTGTGCTGAGTGTCCCAAGGAGACAGGCGAATCAGATGCAGTCTGTTTCTCCCCTCCAGGAATGTCCGGTTAGACACACAGGGAAAGACAAAGTAAGTTTTGTCAAACCTAGATGCTGCGACAGTCACGTCATCTGCAGTCTTGAATAAAATGTCTTCTGTACAGTGGCCCTTCAGTTATCAGATGTGACAGCTTTTCTAACAAATTTCCATGGGAGACATTAATACTTGGACAAGAGAGTTCATAAACACGTCCACCCCTGTTATTTTGGGATTTTGGTGGTGGTGACAGTAGCGGCGGTAGCATGGCCATGCTTTTTATCAACAGTCAAAACAGGTATTTTCATCAGGCCAAAATTTGAAAAGGCATCACTCCTCCAGAGCTTTAACAGGCAGAAACGCTCTGCACTCTGAATGCTGACGGAGTCCATGCCAGGTTCTTTTTTTGACTCTCACATTTTCATTCACGGATACACGCAGAGAGAGATGATATTCTATTTTAGACCCTGACCCTCCCACACACACCAAGTGACCGTTGCTGACGGGCCCCACTTCCACCGCCACCCACAACGCAGAATGCTGCCACCATCACGCTAGAGACCAAGGCCTTTCCCCCGCCCCACGAGAGGAACGCTAGACAGCGAGTGCTGACCCAGTCACCTCAGGGAGACAGAAAGTCAACAGGGCAGGGGGAAAGAAAGAAGTGACATTCTTTTCTGACTCCCTGATCCACACCTAGCACCAATTTTTCCACTGTGAAAACAGTTATCACTGTGCGCAGTGACTCAAGCCTGTAATCCCAGCACTTTAGGAGGCCGAGGTAAGAGGACTGCCAGAGACCACGAGTTCAAGAACAGCCTGGGCAACTTGGTGAGACCTCATCTCTATAAGAAATCAAAAAATTAGCTGGGTGTGGTAGCGCACACCTGTAGTTCCGGCTACTTGGAAGGCAGAGGCAGAAGGATTGCCTGAGCCCAGCAGGTCGAGGCTGCAGTGGCTGTGAGCGTGCCACTGCACTCCAGTCTGGGTGACAGTGTGTGAGGCTCCATCTCAAAAAAAAAGTTATCTACATGTCAGTACTAAGTCATAAGATTAACTCTAGGCCCCATAGTTACCCTGGGGCTAATCTGAGAACTTGAGTCTGCTGGAATACGGTTTTGTAAAAAATATTTTCCAAATTTCAAACAACAAAATTAAAAATGAAGTTTTAAAACGCACCCATGTCAGTTGGAACCTGCATGCATATTTGTGTATATTCTGTTATGGGGGAATCTCAGAGGTGGCTTATATGATGAATGCGGGCTGATCACTAACTTCAAATACTCGCTACTCGAGCTGTGTATAAGCAAAAGGCTGTATTGCAAAGTAGCAGGTCTGACCCCAACATAAACCAAGCAGAGTCAACAGCCAGGAACAGAATCACGCGCTCACACACCGTGCGGGGCCTATCACCACCCCCCACCCCCCACACACTAAATACTAGCTCAGTAATTGAGGTGTTTTGTCACAGAAGAAGGGAAATGAACGCGCTTATAATATAGAAAGAAAAGAGAATGATCAATTATGTGAAAAGAGGAGACCCCAGAAAAATAAACTTCTTCTGGTCCCAACTGTAATACTAACATTTTTAAGACCAATTTGCTAAAATGTTAGAATATCATTATTTGCCTCCAAACTCTGGCTGATATCAGCTGGCTAGTCTCTCCTCAATTTACCTTCAAATTGCAAGATATGGACACATAATTAAAATGATGTCAAGTCCTAACAGGCAAATAGGTCTTCAATGTTTCTACACACTCTTTCTACAATTTGATTGAAAACTAAACACTTCCCTAGTTTAGTGGTCACCCTCCTACTACCCATATTTAAAGGGAAGTCATTTCAGATACAAAAAAAGAAAATCCAAGGCTGGGTGCAGTGGCTCAAGTCTGTAATCCCAGCACTTCGGAAGGCCGAGGTGGAGAGGACTGCCTGAGCCTATGGGTTCGAGAACAGTCCAGGCAACTTGGCAAGACCTCATCTCCACAATAAATAAAAAAGTTAGTCAGGCATGGTGGCACGTGCCTGCAGTTCCAGCTACTTGGAGGGCTGAAGCGGAAGGATACCGGAGCCCAGCGGGTCGAGGCTGAGGGGGCCGGGAGCGTGCTACTGCACTTCAGCCTGGACGACTCCAACTCAAAAAAAAAACTCCAAATATTATCCTTCAAGAAAAGCAGAATAGCTACTGAACTACTACCATTAGCAACCCCAAAACAATTGTCTCAGCACTGATAAATAATATCTAAAACAAGGAACGTTAATACTATTTAACATGAATGGTTCAAATAAAGTATAAAGTATTATTGTATAAAGTTCAAACTGCTTTGTCGAGGAACACCTATCCTTTGTTTAAATGTTGCATTAAGGCATTTAAAGTGATGAGTGATGGATTTAATTGCCCTCTTACCTACGTGTGTATTTCTATGCCCCGTGTGGATATTTTTCATGTACGATTTCCATTTACCACCAACAAAGAAATTCATTCTAATGCTGTCACTAAAACAAGTTTAGTCTAATTTAATTTGAATACATTCAACTTATATTTTACTCTTCTTCTTTCACCTCCCATGAATGTTTCAATGCGCTGCCATTTGGTTTCCCCCTCTCCTATCAATCCAACTGCTCAGGAATACTCACCACTCAACGACTACAGACCAAGTGCAAAATAAAACTCTCAGAAACCTTACTCGACTTCTTTATCTCAAGAGAAACTGATCAGCATTCATTGCTGCTAAAACTTTTTCCTTGCAAGCTTCCATAAGATCATGACCCCTTAGTTCACTCTTGGGTTCTTCAATTCTGCACATTCTCGCTGGACCAAAATCTACCAAATGTTAGTGTGCAGCAGAGTTAAAACACAAATTGCTGGGTCCCATCTCCAGAATTCCAGATGCTGTCCATCTGTAGCAGATCTGAAGGTGGCCCCCAAGTCTCTTCCTCCTGGAACCTAAGACCTTGCATAATCTCCTTTCCCTGAGCATGGATGGGATGCTGACCTGCTTCTAGCAACAGGAGGGTGATGGCTTATGTTACCAGCAGACTCTTTCTCTGAGGAAGCAAGCTGCCAAGCTGTGAGAGGCCCTGGTGAGGGGGCCACATGGCACAAAACCGCAAGTGACCTCTGGAGGTGAGGGAGGCCTCCAGGAGACAGGAATGCCCTCTGGTCAACAGCAGGTCCGAAGCTGGGTCCCCCACAGCCACAAGGAAATTGATTCTGCCAAAGACTCAAGTAAGCCTAGAAATGGATCCATCCTCCGTTGAGCCTCCAGATGAGAACTGGTGGGCACTGATGAGTCTTGCAGGGGACCCATGGAAGCTCTGCCTGGCTCCAGGCCCACAGAAAACGAAAGACAATAAATACAAGCTGCCTGAAGCCGCTAGGTTGGCAGTAACTTTTTACACAGTTGATAGGCCTGAAACGGAGACTGAGCATTGACATTTCTAACAGGTTCCTAGTCCTGCTGGTCCTGCGGGTCCCGGCAGCATGCTTTGGGAACTGCGGTCCATCCAGTCTCGCCTTCTCCCGTGGTTCCAGCTGTCACCTACGTCAGTGAAGCCTACAGGGAGCTTCCTATTGAACACTGCGGTCCCCCTCCATCCCAGCTCTTCCGATCTCTTCGGTCTTCTTCTGCCTTCTCTTTTTGCTCCTGGAATCCCTTTGAGTGTGCAACGCACCGAAGACTTTTACTTGCCAGACTGGCTCGTTATCTACCTCCCCACTGCTGGAATGCAAGAGCCATGAGAAAAAAAGAGTTTGTTTTGTTACCTGATGTATTCAAAACTCCTGTACCTGGCATACAGGAGGTAAACAACAGATATTTGTTGAATGAACACATGACAACACACATCATCTTCAATTCAGACCTCAAACTCTTACCTTCAATCCAAACGCCCAGTAGGTGCCATCACCTGGTGCCCAAAACAGAGCCCACTCTCTTCCTTTACAGAACTGTTCTTCTTCCTATTTTCCTTGTCTTAACCAGGGGCATCATGATCCATCCAGCATCCTTCCCAGCTCGAACCCCTGGCTGGCTCTCCATCACTTAGGTGTGAGGCACAAGTTCCTTAGCGCACACACACTATGCCCTTCCTGTCTGGTCCATGCTTACTCTCCAATGCCAAGTTCTACTGCTGCTCCTACCCCTGGCTACTACATTCTAATCCTCAAATCCCTGATTTCTTGTATTTCTCTGCACATACTCTTTTTTACCACGCCTTTCTACTTGTTAGTCAGGATACTTGAAATTCTCTTGTTCCTCTAGGAAACGTCTCATCAATCATTCCAAAGTCAGCTTAGATCCGATAATCACCAAGAAATCATCATTCCCCCCCCCTCGCAAAGACACTTCTTTCCACATGGTATTAATTCTCTTACTTGCACCACCGCTGTATCTTGTGTATAGTCAATTACTGCACGTGCCACACTAAATGGTCATTTAATTCTCAGGCCCGACTCTCCACCTGAGCAAGTTCCTTAAGGATAATCAGTTCATCATTCAATTTAAATTCTCCAGTCTCGAGCACCTAACACATACCCCTTAATATTAACTGAATTGTATAAGGATTACTAAAAAAATCAAGTATACCTACAAAAACTGAGTCAATACACAAGTTGCCATTCTTCTGAAAACTGCTAAGGCCTAGACAATTTTTGTTAATAATACCACTCAAGTCAATTTTAGTCTCACATTTTTCAAGGGCCTCCAGCTACCCAAGTTCATTATCATAAGCCATATAAATTACTTACCAAATGTGTACTAAGACGTGTTTGCCACATGTCAACTTGCTTTGGTGTGAGATCAGGGATTGATAAGCCTAACCTGGAAGCCAAAGCTTCAACGTAGCCTGCAAGTCTGTAAAAAACACAAAACAAGACGACAGAATACAGGTTTTTAAAGAGATATGCAAATATCCTCAGATAGTACAAAGTTAAATACTGCAAAAAAGAAATGAGACAATTTTATACCTGGACCTGGCACTATAGAAATAGCATAAGCATTTTTACCACTTTTGATTTTTATTGCCTATAAATGTATCCTTTAAGAATATTTCCAGCCAGGCGCAGTGGCTCATGTCTACAATCCCAGCATTTTGGGAGGCTGAGGCAAGAGGACTGCCCGAGCCCACGGGTTCAAGACCAGCCTGAGCAACATGGCGAGACCCAGTCTCTATAATAAATCAAAAAAATGAGGTGGGTGTGGTGCTGTGCCCTGTAGTTCCAGCTACTTGGAAGATTAAAGCAGAAGGACCACCTGAGCCCACCAGGTCGAGGCTGTGGGGACTATGAGCATGCCACTGCACTCCAGCCTGGGTGACAGAGAGAGACTCCAACTCAAAAAAAGACTATTTCCATATTAACATACTTAATACAAAGGAAAATTAATTGTCTTAGAGCAATGATTCACTATCATTACTCTCAAAAGAACAATTCAAGACATATAAAAGAACTTTACAATTACAATTTCTGTACTTATTCCAAATTCAAAGCAAAGCACTTTAACATATGATATAAATTGATAACTTATCAGAAAGCAAACATTTCTAAAGTTCCTCAGATTGGTAAACTAAGAAAAACAGCCTAAAACTCTCAGACCAATCTCAAGTATTCTATCAATTCTAAGTTGCCATCATTTATTGGATATACTCTTACTTTATAAACTGGCCAATTAAACTATGTATACTGTCAACCATAGATGAATCCTGATATCAGAAATGTTAAGAATGTGCATCTGGGGAGACACCTCTTATCAACAAAGGTGCCTGAACGAAGCATATTTGTATACCTAAGCCTTAACTGTACCCCACAATATCATAATAAAAAATATTGATTAAAAAAAAGAATGTGCATCTACGAATCCATAAAATGTGGTATTCGTTATTTAATAATATAAAAGAGGAGAAACAGTTCTTAAACATAAAGATTCTCAGCAAAATCTTCATCTGTAATAAAAACATAACTGTTTTATAATATAATTTAAACCAAATGGTTTTAAAATCTATTAGATCATTTGATTTTACTGAATATATCAGAAAGATGCATAGTAGCTATAATATTATCATTCACTTTAATGTTGGAAACTGGCAAGTGGAATGTTTAAGAGGTCACACCATGACAGATTTATGTCAGGAATGTCAAGCACGTATACAGTACTCCTGCCACGGTCCTACAGGAAAGAGATTTTGTTTTTAAGAGTAGCTTTGGCTCTGAACTCCAGTGCAGAAGTCTAATCTAGAGGGCTACATCACTTACAATACTGTCTTTGCTAGACTATAGGATCAAGCAGACTCCTACTAAGCCCAAATCCCAATCTCAAAGCGTAACACTCAAATGAGCCAAGGAAAAAAGAAAGCGAGTCAAAGACAGAGCAAGAGAGAGCATGTTTATGACAGTAAGTAACGTCAGCTAAGTCTAATTCATCATCCCCAGTCTTCCCCAAGCTCAGGAAAAGCAGCCCAGGCCATCTGCCACTTGGACGAGAGAGCGGAAAGAGAGGAAGTTGGTCTTTCTAAGCAGATGTCCTCAGTCTGTTTCCTCATTCCTGCCACATGAAAAAGAGAAAGCCAAAAACCAGCCGACCCCGTATATGATTTGGCCATTATGTCCTTTGAAAGCCCCACCTCTAGAAAGCAAGCCCAGTCAGGACCCTCAAATCTGAGCCAAATCCCTCATCTTTGGGCTTCTTGGGAGGAGGGTGAGGTGGAATAATGATAGGCATTCTTGCTTTTAACCCTGTCTTATCCTTGGAGTTGTCTACAAAATACATATAAATACTTAAGTAAACATAAGTTCCATTTTGCTTACATTATGGATATTTGGATAAATTTTTGCACGTATCAGAACCACTTATGAAAATTATTAAGCACAAATGCCAGGGTTCCCTGCCCAAAGAAGCTAATTCTGTATGACTGGGTACAACCCAAGCATCTGCATTTGATGCAAACCACGGACTTAGTACTATTGGTTTAGAAACAATACATTTTAAAACTTAGTTCTAAAACACAAAGAAAAATAAGCACGTCTTTTTATGCTTCTCAATTAAGGGAGAATGGAGAAAGACAGCAAGTAAGTACACAATGTACAAATGAACAAATGAAGGAACATACCCAAGTCCAGCTAAATCTGATACGAGATTTCCCAAAGCAGCAGCTAAAAATTTGAAAAACAGACAAATGAATTGTTACACAAAAGTCAGAGAAATCATCATATCATTAAGTAATCAATAAAGCACTGGTCTGAAAGAGTTCTCACATTTCTCAAAATACAACAACTATATCCAAACTAACTCACTGGATTGCTCTTAATCTCAAGATTTTAAAGCAAAACACAATTCTGAAATTATAATATTCTACCTCCATAGGTATTAAGTAGGCTTGTTCTGTGATGGCAGTCAATTTCTATTTTGGTCTCAATATGAAAACACCTGTAAAGCACTTTGCTGTGTCTTTCATACACTATTTAAGAGAACTTGGATATTTGGAATTTAACAAATAAAGCCTGACATATAGTTCTGAAATTCAAGAAAATCAAGAAGAAATATTAACTCATCCACCTCATGCTTTCTATAAAACAAACAAAACACAGAACCATTCCCAAATTTCACCTTCATGAAGACTGGAGTGGTAAGTGGGGGAGAAGGAGATCGGTTTTTAATCTTGTATTTCTTTCTTTAATTTTTCTACTCAATTTGAAAATAAGTAGCTTACTAGAGACAAAGTGTAGAAAGGTTTGGGGGTAAAACAGAAAAATGTGTTTTAGCATAGTCAATACAGCATTGTTACCCATTAACTAATAGGAAGTACCTAAAATTTTCAGAAAAAAAACGGACGACGTACGCAGCATCAAGAATCAGAAAAATAGGATTAAGGAAATAAACTAACAGACATCTCAATGAGCAAACTAATCCAAATAAGTTACCCTCTTCTAAACTTAATCTACTGAAATGTTTTATAAATATATAGACAATGGAATAATATCATTAACTATTATTAAATACCTGCCATAGTTGAAATTCCCAAAATAATTCCAATAGACATCTCAATATGGGTTCCCTGAAAAACGATTAAAAATTCATCTTAAAAATTAAAGCTGAAGTGACAACAAAGTTGGAAAGTATTAATAAAAGCATATAGAGCTAAATCCATGTTAGTGCTGCAAAATTATGTACATCAAATATGCAGAAATACACACATATAAGGTAGCAATTCACTTAGTAATGAAGTGTATACATTGATACAGAAACAACAGCCATAATATTTTATTCACTAGATTAGACTTTTATAAAAATAAAAAATAGCAAAACATATAGAAATAAAATTCATCATTAAGAATCTGGAGTTTCTATTTTCCTGACACTGAGAAAGATGCTTTTAAAGCTCTTTGAACACAAAGACCAACCCATAATTTTGAATTCTGAATGATACATCTATAGCACTATTACTTATCAACAAATTAAAAAGACGAAACCAGCTTCTAAAGAAACTGGAATCAACAGAGTTGTCCTTGGAACAGTTCTTTAGCACTAAGTAAGCAGGGGAACTATGATTTATTTAGAAGCAGCAACAGCACTTAGTATCTCCAGTAAAAACAAGGCCCCACTGTATTTCGACTGAATTTATTTACTGAAACCGTTCAAGACTTTCTACATCTATACTATCATTCCTCTTCCATTTTAAAAAAGGAATTAAAGTGAAGATGATTAAACTCTTCTAACGGGTTACTATACAGAATGAAGAAGAAATCCTAGGATCTACTGTGTCAATTCAGTTCTAATCCCCAGCAATGTTGTCAACAGTAGACTTCATTTTCAAGAGCTCTCCTGATACTGATGCTTAAAATTTTCTCAAATTTTTTTCAAATCTCAGTATTTGTGGAGAATAAAAAGAAAGTCCTGTCTGTTATGTAGAGATGCTGTATTATTCATCAATTATTTATAAAACTGAAAACAGCTGAGTTCTGTTCCCCTCAATTTTCCCTCCAATGGGCCTTTGGGTCCATCACTTTAAGATATAATCCTTGTTGAATATGGACCAAAAAGTTGATACACAGAAGTTTAGAAGTCTTTTGTCCTGATGTACAAAGTTAATATCACAAGGTTGTAAATGTACTCAAAGATACAGCTTTCTGAAGAAAAAAAGATAAAGAAATGGGAAAAAACACGCACAGAAAAAAAGAATTAAGAAGTGTATCTTTATATATGAATGCAAAAAATGGGAGCACCCATACAGAAGCAGCATCCATAGCTACAGTCTATAACAAGCAAACAAGGCATCTTGAACAGCCTCAAGTCACCGGCAATGACCAAGAAGCATCTCTTTGCAACACATGCATGTTAAAGGTATGTCAGTGCTTGATCACTTGGTTGAATTCAACACACTGGAAGGTCCTTCTAACAGCATAAAAGCCCCATATAAAGGCAAAGATGGCCTGAGGGCAATGGACTAGCCACTTCTTTACTGTGTCCCACAGTTTCATCACATTTTGTGTTAACTGGTGAGGTAGAATTTGTAACTAAACCGAAAATTAGTTGTCTTAAAGTTACGCCTGTCATCACCCTAATACAATTATTAGTCTACTCTAGAATTCTAATTAATTCTATCCTAATTAAATTGTAAGAAAATTAATCTAAAGCAATCCTAAAAAGAAAGTTATAAAAAGCAATCTATAAAAAGTAATTCAAAACTATGAAACCAAAGGGTTAGTAAAAATAGCAGCCAGGATAATGGCAAGTCTATTAGAAGTAGCTACACGGGAATTTGTTTTTATATAAAACTAGGGTAGCCACCAGGAGGGTACACCTAGCAGGAAGGAGGAAATCACCAAATGTCTACAGCATCAAAAAAAAAAAAAGAATCAATTATCTCCTTGAACTTACTCTTTTTAAAACAGACAACACTGTCCCATATGTGAGATGGTAACCAGTAATTTTTAAAAAATTAAAGAGTGAAAAGCATTCTTAATAATAATCACTTATTTCTCTTTTCATAGATTCTACAGGTATATTATCCATATGTTTTAATCTTAGCAGTCTATATTACAAAGCCTTGCTAGGAAACGTCACTGACTCTGAATTCATTTGCAATTATCACAAGAAAATAATGTTGCCACAATTATTACTCTTAATAAGGTACTGAAGGCAGTGGTTTAAACATTTCGGCATTATATAGAGAGAGATTGTTTTGATGCCTTCAGGATGTGCTGGGAAAAAAATACGAATGGTTTTTAAAAACTGTTGCTAAGTCTCTGAACTGGGATTTCAGTGTGAACAGAATAACAAGCATCACTAATCTGGAGTCGACCATTCTAGGTTTGGAAAAACGAGGCACACTCCCAGTTATACTAACAGCGAGGCACAGAGCTGGAGAACACAACACTGTGAAAGATACTACAGTAACTGGGCTCTAGAATGTGGGTGTTCGGTTTGGTTTCATAGCAGTATTTAAACACAGAAGGATTACTTTAGATACTTGTTTCAAAAACATGTGAAGACCCTACTGTGAAGACTTTGCTCAGGATCTAAGAAGCCACCCAGTTCCCTACTGTGATCTCTCTTGAAAATCTCCCTACACCCCTCTTTATGCCAACGGGTTCATCTCATCACGTTTCTGTGGCAAAGGACAGAGTTTCAGCATTTGAATATCTAAGGTCTGCCCTAGTGAGGTTGAAAAAAAATGGTCATTAAGATGGTAGTATAGGTACAAGCCATCAGTAAAGAGAATAAAATGCTGAGTCCACGATGCTGACAAAATCCTCTCTCAGTCCTAACTCAGAAAAGTTTCCAGCTATGAAGCATTCCAATTTTCTCAAGTGGGTTTAAATAAAGACTTGACCTTAGAACTCACAAGCTTGTATTCAAAGTATCTGGTATGTTTTTCTCTTCCCGGGATATAGGTAACAGACCTCCAATCCATTTACTGCTAGTATCTGAAAAGAATGACTTCACATAAAGTATTCTCAAAACATGTCATGAAAGTTGATAACTGCTTCTTAACTGAACTATAATCAACCCATTTTACTTGGACAAAATCAAAGGGAAGTAGACAGTTTTCTGACTGATCATAGCATTTTCCTAATATGCACATAATAAGGATAAGAATAAGCCAGGCATGGTGGCTCACGCCTCCATTCCCAACACTTTGGGAGATGGAGGTGAGAGGATTGCCTGAGTCCAGGGGTTCGAGATCAGCCTGGGCAACTTGGCGAGACCTCATCTCTACAATAAAAAATTAGCCAGGTGTGGTGGAGCACATCTGAGGTTCCAGTTACTTGGAAGGCTAAGGCGAAAGGATAGCCTGAGTCCAGCAGGTTGAGGCTGCAGTGGCAATGAGCCTGCAACTCCAATCTGGGTAACAGAGTGAGACTCTGACTCAAAAAAAAATAAGAATAAAAATAAAATGGACTAATTTGCATATATTAGTAAATGTGAGAAACTTACTCAATGTGAGAAACTTACTCAACTGTTTAGAACCATACTGCCTTTTCTGAAACTACTAAAATGTAAGTTGGCTAGATTATTTAAAGAATTAATGTAGCCGGGCTCCGTGGCTCAGCCTGTAATCCCACGCCTTTGGGAGGCTGAGGTGAGTGGATTGCCTGAGCCCGTGGGTTCAAGACCCGCCTGGACAGGGAGACCTCATCTCTACAATAAATCAAAAATTAGCCGAGCGTGGTAGCATGCGCCGGTAGTCCCAGCTACTTGGAAGGCTGAGGCAGAAGGATCGCCGGAGCCCAGCAGGTCGAGGCTGCGGGGGCCGGGAGTGGCCACTGCACTCCAGTCTGGGCAACAGAGTGAGACTCCAACTCAAAAAAAAAGAATTAATGTAAATCAAATCTAATTGTAATGAAAGCCCCATTATGACACATTTATAAGCTATAGTTAAAACTTCCTATGTTGGCCAGGCATGGTAGCTCACGCCTACAATCACAGCACTTTGGAAGGCCAAGGTGAGAAGACTGCCTGAGCCCAAGGATTTGAGACCACCCTTGGGCAACTTGGCGAGACCTAATTTCTACAACAAATCAAAAATCAGCCGGGCGTGGTAGTCAGCCACTTGGAAGGCTAAGGCGGAAGACTCGTCTGAATCCAGCAGGTTGAGGCTATGGTGGCCGTGGGCGTGCCACTGTACAGGTTGGTGGCAGAACGAGACTCCAACTCAAAACAAAACAAAACAAAACAAAACAAAACCTCCTACGTTCTTGAACGTGGATAGTGCACTGGGCAGTTTTAGAAGACTTGCTTGTTTTAATCACAGAGCTATTTCTGACTTCAGAATACGGACGCAATATTGGTCTCGATGAACAAAGGCGTTATAATAAGAGTAAGAAAGGTAAATCAGTCATCCCTGAGATTTAAAAACACTTTTAAGGAGCACCCATACACTAAAATGACCATAGCAAAGCAATTTTTTTTAACACTACAGTGGAAGAAAGGCAAAAGGGGGATACAGTCACAGTGTTCTAAATTGAAACTTAAGACACCATCAGGTTAAACAGCTAGACCGAAGGACAGACTGTGTATCAAAATGCCCTTTATAACATTTTTACATGGGAAAATTGAGCAAGGAACTAATCAAATAGCCTATATATGTGATGATAATGTCCAATACAATGAACAAATACCAGAAAACTCTACATACTATCTTTCTTTAATAAGAATGTTACAAAACTAGAACAGGATAATATAGAACCGACCCTAAATGTTTTCCCTAAATGCTTCACCAAAAGTCATCATAACTGATATATATATAATTGAGCTTATAATTAAATTGAGCTACAGTCTAATTGATATAAAGTACAGTAAAAAACCATATTTATTATGTTAATTAAAACTTTATAGCTATAATATGCAAATATATAGGAAAATGTAGATCACATTAATTTATTTATTAACTCAAAATAAAAGCCATGAAAGAACTTACTGCAACAATCATAATTGCATTATCCAAAAAGCCAAACCCTACGAAAGGTATCGCATTGTGGATGAATACTGAAAAACAGCAAACACAGAAAAATACATTTTAACATTTCTATAACTTTAGAATGACCAAACAAGATCATATAGCAAGGTACAGTCAACATCAGTTTCAACTAAGGACTTTTTCAACAAACATTAAAACTCTGAGTTTTAGACTACATCCAAAACATAGTCCCTTAAGTCAAATGATTTTATGTATTTTATTTACTGATATTAGAGCATTTTTTATTTTAATGCCGTTAAGTCCACAGAAGTATAATTAAAACATAATCCATAAGTTGTGAAAGATTAACACTACTATATTGAGTTCTGTACCAACCAGGGAAAACTAATGAGCAGTTTAAAAAAACACTCCTGCCCACAAAACCACTATCAAAGACTAAGATAAGGGAAAAACAGTAAACATAGTATAATACATGTGTGGTATATACTATCGTTATATACTTTATATATTATTACAGCTATACAATATTATACAAACAGTACACAATAGATATGTGATAGATCATTTCAGATTTCTTCTTGTTTTTAAGAAAGAGTGGTCTAGGGCCATACCACCCTGAATGCGCCCGATCTCGTCTGATCTCGGAAGCTAAGCAGGGTCGGGCCTGGTTAGTACTGGGATGGAAGAAAGAGTGTCCAAGATCAAGGGCAACATCTTTAATTAAAGATGTAATTACAAAGACTATTCTTTTAAAAGCTGTTAACGATAATAAAAAGCAAACTGCACATTAATGAAATGGGATTTTTCAATTAAGAGTCTAGCCTTACTTATTTGACACACTGCCTTAGTCTGGTTGTTTAACTACTGACTTCACAATTTTATAAAAAGCAGCTTGCAAAACCTATACACAATACAAATTTAACAGGTTAAATGAACATAATGAAATTTTAAAAAATTCACCAAATAAACATTTACAGAGAAGAAAAAGTTATTTAAAAGTATGACAAAGAAATGATGAAAACAGCTGGGATTATTTATATTTAGCGTTAACATGGGGCTGATTTGATGGTATCTCTAAAACTGGCCAGTTACAAATATTTTTAAATTAGGTGTCAATGCATTAAATTAAGATTACACTAATTGCTATTCTGGTAAAAACTCAGTAAAACCAAGGCACATTGCTACAATAATCACGTTGAACTATATGATATATTATGGTTTTAATGTTTGTACCTAAATAAATATGTCTATAAATAAAAATTCATTTTAGCCAAAAGAAAAATTACAATTTTTCAAAAAGTTAAAAAAATATATTGGGTAATATACTGAGCACTTGAGATATAAATAAACAAGGTTGGTTCCCAGGCCTGAAAGCACAACCACATAAACAGTGAATTTCAATATGACTTATAAAATATGACAACAGTATTACAGAATGATATGGATATAGGGCAAATGAACCTAAGTATGGAGAATCAGGAGTGATTACATGGGGAACAAGTCTTAAAGAATTCTTAAATTGTTTTGGTGTTGAAGAAAGTTACTAATTTCTAATATAAATTATATTCGACTTGTGAAAGAAAAAAAGCTATTACATAGGTTTTTTAGTTGTATAAATGTGTTCTCCAGTATGTAATGACCTCCTACTAATTTGTGATTTGTTTAATGCCCTTTGGGAAACACAACCCTATAACTCAGAAGTTGTCAGAAAAATCACATTCAACATTTAACTTTAATTTAAAACCTTCTCGAACTCACTACACTTAAAAATAAATCACTTGTTCCATCTTTATAATAAAATCCCAAACTGTTTCACAGTATTTCGCTGTTGGTGCTTGCATGTTTAGTCCCCTCATATGAGCAAGAAGAAAGAACATCAGCAGCATGGTAGTGGGTGCCGGTGATCTTAAAGAACTTCTTTTTCATCCTGGCCGACAGCCAGCCGGAGAACAGTCCCACCCGGCCTCGAGCCTGGACCTCTAGCTCTGCAGCTACTCGAGTTAGATTCAAACCAAACACAGCCCTTCCCAGGAATTCCCGGAATTAGAGTAACCTAAATCGTAGGTATGATTCCATCTCCAGACGGTAATATTTAACAGATAGGTCTTCTTGACAAGGTTGGATGTTCTATAATATTCTGTTATGTCTGAAGCCAAGTTTATAAACGTTGTGCTTCAGCTTAACAGGATAACCCCTCCATCTGGGAAGACTTAATTTACTGACCCTTCTATACTATCCATGAATGGCATGATTATTTCAAGTCCAAAAACAGATGCACATATATTTCACAATTAGAGAGTCATTACCATATCTCAGCTGTCCCGGGGTGGGTGGTGGAGCTTCCAATTTTTCTAAAGAGGAGAAAAAGGTGCAGGCAAGAATTAGTTACTACAGCACGAATTAATCTATTACAATGAAGACAATACCAGCAGATTTACAAAGTGGTAGAATATCAGAGTTCATTCATTTAGTGGGCCTACCATACCTATACAGAAAATATTCATTGGTATGGATAAAATGAAAATGCTAGCAAACGAAACTGAGCTGAGCTACAAGCCTAACCATGGACTCTGCAGCTGGGAGTAAGTCACTTGGTCTTCGGCTTTGCTTTTTAAGTCCTTGCATCTACATAAAGAACCTGCTTGTATCAATTCCAGTGGAAAAACACTTATACAGCTACTCTTCTTTAAGATGAAAATTCCAGCTGACTTAAGAAATATATATATGTATATGTGTATATATATATATATATATACACACACATATATATATACACACACACATAAACATCACTGCTGAAAAAAGAATATTCAAATAGATCTACACAGCCTTTAAAATGACACAAATATTTTTAAAGCAATGTATTATAATAATGGCATCACTGGATGATGTTCTGTTCCTTAATCTGTTGATAATAACTGAATAGCTTAATTTTTGAAACATATACTACTGGATAATAGAATATTCTACACAATAAAACAACTAACAAAATTAGGGTGCTATTCAAGATCACAAGTAACAGTATGCTATTTGTAACATATGCCATAAACATACAAAACTTTCCCTAGTATAAACTAGATATCTTTAAGTGTCATAATCCTACCTAAAAATTGACAATACTACAAGAAGCAACCTAGCTGGTCTAGTCACAAGATCATCACGCCATTTCTAGAAGAATAAACTATAGTAAAGAGATAGGAAATGCTACTTTCTGTACCACTGGTTAAGCCAACAGAATTCACTGATAACGTACAGAGAAGAACCCATATTGTAAATGGCTCTACTGTCCAAGGAGGCGTCCCTTACAAACTGGCACAGATACCTGCCAAAACACTTAATTAAAATTTATGACAATGGCAGAACTAAATGACTTAGCATAAAAAATACACAGGAAATAAATCTCCATCGGCCATCAACTCAAAAAGGAATATGATCCCATATGTGTGACTGGTATTTTGCAAGTACCATATTGGCTTTACAATAAAAAATACAATAAAACCTAGAGTTTAGTCAATTATCATATTTAGAAAGTTCTAAGAATGTAGTTTTAGATTTTATTTTTCCTTTTTTAGGTAGGTTAAGAAATGAAGATATACTCCTCTTCGTAGACTTTCACATCCTAAGAAAACACATTCTCCATTATTTGATTGGCACTATTACCTCGAAAGCCTGCAAAGACAAATCCATTCTAGAGAAGAATCAACACTGAGAAAAAGAAGGGGCCCTGAGTGAGTCAGCTGTCCACTTGCTGCAGCTTTCAGCCTGAGAGTAGGCCCCAATCACAGCACACAGGAAGCAACGACAGCTCTGGTAAAAAATCCCTCAGTCTTTCTGTCCCAAGAACCAGAGGACAGGGTACGAGGTAAGCAAAGCAACTAGAAAACGAGGGAAGAATCCCGGAAAGGGTAGAATCGAAGGGAGGAGCCCGAAACTCTGTGGGCACTGAGTTCAAATCTACGGCTGCCCTGTGGAACCACACATGCACGGGGGAAACTCCAAAGTACCAGCCCAGGGTAATTTAAGAACTGATCTGAGGGGAACTTAACAGAGAAGCTGCAGTTTGAACCCAACCACTAAGTGCCTGCTAAAACAAACAAAGAAAAACCAACACTTTTTAGAAAAATATAATAATCACAGCAATAACTAGGATAAATCAAAAATTACATCATAAACAAAGAAAAAGAAAATGTGGCCTATTTTCAGGAGACCAGACAACAGACAGAGATCAATCCCAAAGTCACTCAAATATTAGAACCAGCAGAAAAAAGCTATAAAGGAGGAATTAAAATTATATTCTAAGATAAAAATAAAAACATGCTTAAATGAATGACAGAACAGGAAATCTCAGCAGAGAAACAGCAAATATTAAAAAAAGAGCCAATAAGAAGTTCTAGAACTGAAAAATACACGACTTGAAATTATAAAACTAACTAGACAGGCTTAAAAGCAAAATAGGAGAGACAGAAAGGTCAGTGGACATGAGGACAGATCCATAAAAATCCCTCAGTCTGAGCAACAGAGAGTAAAAGGATTAACAAATAATAAACCAGACTCTCAGAGACCTGTGACTAAACTTCAAAAGTCTAATACATGTGTAAGTGGAGTTACAAAAGGAAAAGAGTCAAGATAGGAACAAAAAATGTGAACATAAATAACTGCTAAAAAGTTCCTACATTTAGTGGGAGACAAAAATTTCAAAAGACTCAAGAAATTCAGTGAAACCCTAGTTAGATAACTATGAAGAAAAAAATCATAAAAAGAAATCTTGAAAGCGGTCAGAAAAAAATGACATAAAAATACAAAAAAAGGTTTGAATATGCAGAAAGAAAAAAATGTCAGTCCTGTACCTGATATCCAAACAAATTATCCTTCAAAAATGAATGCAAAATGCACTTCAGATAACTAACACTATAAGAATGTGTTAACAGCCACCCTGCAATAGAAAAAAAGCATAAAAAATTCTTTAGACCAAAGGAAAATACCAACTGAAAAGCCAAGTCTTAGGGAAGGAATAAAGAGTATCAGAAATGGTGTCTGGGTAAATATTTTAAAATTCCTCTTAGTAGGATTCCACTTTTAAAATGAATAGGGTAGATAAATTATAAGAATCTAAGAGATAATATTTACATATAGGAGTTATTTCTTTCAGGTTTCACATTTTAAAGTCTTTGTTAGAAGGTAAATAAGATAAAACAGTTGCTATGAACTGCTTATATATTATATTAAATCAAATGAAAATTATTTGAAATGAGACTATCCTATCTGCTGTTGAGAATTTAAATATACTGTTACTATATTGTTATTATAACATATAGACCATCTTTTCCTAATACAAACTTCCTATTAATTATAAATCCTTATGAAAACAATTTAAAATTTCTTTGCATGCTTAAATATAAGATTTTTCAACAATTCATTTCCATACTCCAGGAATATTAGAGGAAATAAGATATTTAAAGAAAATTTACTTTTTTTATTAAGTGAAACTCTAATTTCTTAGAGTGTACACAGAATGGGGTATTCCGGTTCGCTTTCCAAACTAAAGCAATCAGAAAACTGTGTTAGCTTGCAAAATGCTGTTATTACCTAAGTAATATTAAATGTTTTAAAAGATTATTTCAGGCTGGTTGCAGTGGCCTGGGCGACAGAGTAAGACTCCAATTAAAAAAAAAAAAAAGATGGTTTCAGTGATGATTTGGAATCATAATTATCTTAAGAGCTCGATTAGTATTTATTTAGGAGATATAAAATTGAGGGGTACTATCACATAAAAAAGAAATCAGAAGAGAACATAAACTAAGGCCTTTTCTTCTCCTTTTTCAAGAATAAAAATTCATTTAACCCAGCTTTTTTTTTTAAATTTTATTATTTTATTTACTAGAATAATTAAAAAGAAGGCAAGAAGTAGGTGGGACACATTCATTTGTAGTAAATTACAGTGGTGTTTATCCACCCAATACTTTACCATAAACTATTTAACCATACTTTAAATTTTCTTTTTAGAATGCATCCAAATTTGTTTTCTCTTTCTTTTTTTTATTAATCAATATTTTTTATTTTGATATTGTGGGAGCCCATACATTTCAATTTCTGTTTTGCCACGTCACTTTACCAAAGATATTATCAAGTAATATTCAGCAAAGGTCAGCTAAATTAAGCCACACCATTGTCAACCAGCTTTTTATATCTTACTGTATAAGTCTAAATATTTAAGTTTTATACTGTGATCACTTGAAGGAGAAAATCAGATTAGAAAGAAAAACACAGCCGGGCTCGGTGGCTCAGCCTGTAATCCCACGCCTTTGGGAGGCTGAGGTGAGTGGATTGCCTGAGTCCGAGGGTTCG